AGTCTCTTATATGCACAGAAAAATTAAGAGATTTGTTTTCGCTTTATCTATACATGTGTGTGTAGAATGTGCGTACGCATGATCTTCGACCTTTTTATAATGTCAATGAAATCCTGTGTTTTTTTTTCGAATGATTTGTTATTTGGGGCTCACCTTCAAGGCTAAATAGTTAAATTCAAAATCGTATTGTTCACTCTTCAACACAGGATAGTTGATGCTCAATTAAATAAATTATTAGAGAACGTCTTTTTTTCTCATAAAAATCTTTTGTTTTTATATTAACGAGCCATTCGATTTATATAGCAACAAAAACATTATTAGAAAATTATGTCAAAAGAAAATGAAATGCTAATTGACTAAACAACACTAATAAAAATTTGTAAAAAAAAACATTGATTCATTTTTAATTCAATTATTCATATATTTTTTCGAGAAATATCAACATAAGTAGAACAAATATTTTGAATAATACAAGGAAAAAAAAAATATTTTAGTTATTTTAATTCAATTGAACACAAGAAATAGCCATTAAGATAAGAAGTATACTAATATTTATCGAATTAACTCCATTACGTTTATCAACAAGAACTTGAATAGAACCAGATTTACTTTGAATAGTATCGATTTCATGTTGTGATCCATCTGGAATAACTGTTGGTGATAAGCCAGAATCAATACCCGTTAAATTCATATGAGTTTTAATTGTTGTCTGAATACATTGAAAATGAGTCGAAACAGACGGACATACATTAGTAATTGATAATGATGAATCAAGCGGTACCAATTGTTGAAGATTACATGTATCAGCTAATACTTCATTTGATGAATCATCTTCAATAAGTATGTCAACAAAATCAGATGGAATAAATGTTATTGAATCATTTAATGAATCAGGTTCAAGAAAAGCAATTGCTTTGCCCTTGCCAAGAGGAAAAATTTGACAATATGTTTTACCTTCGACTTGGCCTAGAAAAGAATATTATATAAAAAAAAAAATATTTCTTAATTTAATCTTACCAGCTTGTGTAATATTAATCAAGCTTGGTACAGCTGGTCCTTTCAAAATACAATCAACTCGAAATGAAACACGAAATGTTGATCCACTTTCATCTTCTAAGGCTTTTCCAGTTGCTTTACCATAAACGACAATCGATGAATTTTCTACTTTCGTTGCAAAATCTATTGTATCCTTTGCGCATTTTCGTTTTAATATTGATTTTCCATCACAAATAGATAATACGATAAGAAGAAATATCGTACTAATAGCATTCATTGTTATCTGGAAAACACGATGTGAATGAAATAATCGATATGAACTTTGTTTGTCTTTATATATATGTGTATATATATTTAGAATGAAACAAGAAAAAATGCACGTCCGATATGCATTTCTTTTTCGTCAACAAAATGGACGACGATGATAGAAGAAATACTTGTCTTCTTAAGAAGTAGATAAGTATGACGAAAGCAATTTCTGAGTACATAAAGTTCGATACATTAAACTAATATTCGTCTCAAAATAATAGAAAGAGAAATATTTTCGGAATAGTTTTTGATAGGAACCAGATAGAGATTTGCAATTTTCACCGTTTAAAGGAGGCGATAAAACTACATCGAATTAATAATACCAAATCTTTCTGGCAAGTTTTCTCAGTATTTCCTGATAAGTTTTTTGAAAACAGAAAATTTTGTAGTGTAAAAGTTTTGGAACTTTACTTTTGATTAGTGCATCAGAATTATTAACTAGAGCTCAAGCATCTATGTAAGTCCGATGTTAAAAGTTTTAGCCAATCATGAGTTAGTAATATTTTACTAAGTATTTTTGGCAGGTTTTTCACGAAAAATCGACTATTTTGCTGATTTTTTGGTAAAAAAATCCACCTTCTAACCCTATCGAAGAGTCTCGATCTGTTAATAACCTTGGCAGGAGATCCTGACAAAGCTTGCCAGAAAGATCTGGTTATTGGTAATTCGATACAGTTTCATGGTCTTTTTCAAACGGTGAAAACTGCAGATCTCTCTCTAGTTCCTATTAAAAGTTATTCCAAAAAGACTTATTTTTCGTTTATTTTGGAAATCAATAATAACCTATTGTGTACAAAGTCTTTGCGCAACATGTTTGATCAATTGTCGTCTCATTATAAGACATTGAAGACAAGCAAAATTTCATGATCTTTCTAACTATATATTAAGAAATTAGCTTCTCATTTAATTTTAGTCCATTTCAAATAAATATCTGATGAAGGTTAAACCTAACGATTGTACAAAACGCTAATTGAAAAGGTATTGGCAAATATATATGGTCATTTATCGGACATCTGGATGTCATTAACGAAGTCAGTGGAACCAGAATATGATGCCTTTTCCAAATGTATGCTCAGAATTTATTACTGATTTAAAGGTAGTTAGTTATGAGCGAATATTAAAATGATTCAAACATGTTGTTTTTAATCACTAAGCAAAACAGACTTATCTTTTTTATTCATAACTTTGCATGAGATTTTAAAATAATTTTGATTTTCAAGTGTTGCACAGTGATTTATTTTCTACTATATCACATACTGCAGTTCACTAGAACTCAAAAGAAATCACAGTCTATATACACTTTTCGAACAGTTACTTGGTGTGTAGAATGTAATGGTTTCGATTGTTTGTAACAAAAATAAAAAAGAGACATAAGTTAATTTGGGTATCTTGTAGCACAAGTCTCACTATACAAGTTAATGTATCAAAATACTTATAGTTTGAATTGAGATAGTTTTTATCTAAATACAAACCTGAACTACATGAGAAATTATCGACTAACGCTATTTTTGTTTTCTCTCAGAGGTTTGCTCTCAATGAACTAACTTTAGATCAGAATAAAAATTCTGAATACACAGTTGGAAAGAGTATGAAATTCTGATTCTAGCTGATTAATTTTGATTTTCTCCAATGACTTATAAGTGCATGAAAACTGACTACACATGTTGTACAAAGTTATGTTAAACAAAGGTTATAAATATAAAGGTTTTGGAAGACTAACATTTTGAAACACTGGCGAGGAAACGTTGGCAACTGATCAGACACTTTTCAACGAAATCTAGTAGATTCTAAATCTTCTACCATACTAATTCTTTATACAGCCTCGTGGAACTTTCTGATATTTTCGCGTGTTGGTTTTCAAGATGAATAAACTTTCTAGAGCATTCGCCGTTATACTGAAGACAATAAAATTTTTTACAGCTAATAAAATCATTTTAATTTATTTAACAGCAACGTATCAACCTTTCACTGTGAAAATCTTCAAGTTCATAATATTTTATTTAAAACTCATAATTGGAAAAAAGAAAATATTATCAATTTGGAAGCAACTTGAGATACTCTATAATCTGAACAGACTAAAAACGATTTTGCAAAAAATGTTTGTTGGCTGGAAATGCCCGCTTTCTAAGAAATCAGCATGTTCGATCACATACAATCCACTAACTTTCAATGAAAAAGCGATTAGTCAGTTGAATGCGTCCCTTTGTAAACTCGTTGAGACTAATAGAACTTTTTAAATCCATCTCATGGATTATCAATGTAAATGACAAAACGAAGTCATTCAGTCAAATGATAATATTATATTTGAATAATTCTTCTCTTTCTTTCTGTATAACACATCTTATCAGTATATTAATTTCTATTTTATCAACGGTTTATTTCTCAAAAGATCAACTACAAATTCATTAAATGATTCTTAATACTCGTCTATAGAAAGAGATCGTAATGAATATTTTACTGAAAAAAAGAATGGAATATCTTTCAATGATTCAATTGATGTATTAATTTTAAACTGTTTCATTAATTATCAGTGAATATGAGCAGTAAAAACCAATAAGAACTAAATCATTTTCTTTATTTTTTGGCTATGTTTGTCTAAAAAAAAGAAGATAAATATCTTTTTCATTTTTACTTATTCTTCTTGTAGTTTTTATTCAATATTTCGCCATTCATATTCACAGTTATTGTTTCCCATTCAAATACATCAATTTCGTTGTATATTATTCATAATAAAACAAATAATATATTGATTTTTCCTAATTGACATCAAGTTTTATTATTATTAACAAACTGTCCATTTCTTTAATTTTCAAGAACTGCATTTTTATCAAATGCGTCTGTTTTATTTTGTATATTATTTAAACTAGAAAATGAAAGAACACATATTCTAGACATAAGAATTGGTTCATTTTTAACATGCCCTGAACCCTAAAAACTAGCATAATAATAACGTCAAGCTTTTCAAAAAGCTTTTGCATCATTCCAATCATATAATTCAATTCTTTCAGTTTTGTACATTACTTCATATTGAACGAAGTCACTAGAGGAAGGAACAGAGTGAAATGACACTAAAATTTAATTACATTAACAAAAATGTTTGTGAACCAGTCAATTATGTTTTTTCCTAGAACTTTAAGTGTTGTTGTTTTTCCTAAGAAAGTAATTTTTTTTTTCGTTTTTATCACGAGTGTCTGAACCACGAATGGCAATCGTGATGGTTCGATAATAGTTGAAGATTAAAGTAAAAGATTTTTTCGAAATTATTACCTGTTACTAGTGTCTTTGCTTCTATCCATGATGATTCTCTTTGAGATTCATCTCTAAGAATATTTGATTTTTAAGTTGAAAATCAATAAAAATAACCTTCCCGACCGCCATATGAGAAGTGCTAATCAGACGAAAAATGAGTGTAATTATGACAGAATACTTTTTTCTATTTCTGTTATTATTTTTATGTTGATTCTTTTTTTCTCATCATTGTTGTACAAGCTGTGTGATAAACAAATAAAAAGTTTATAATCAACGTTTTGAAAGCATTATTAGCGATCGATTTTCATCCAGCACGAGGTATCCAACAAAAGTCATCTGTCGTGTTACTACTCCACAATGAAATTATCGCTGATTTTTTTGTCTGCTCGACCGCAAACACGGAAACGTTTATTATATCAAATAAATGTCAATGAAAAACTCTTATTCTACAGAAAAAGATGAAGAATACTAGAAAAAATTATCTGAATTAAACTGATAATAATCATAAATGAAAATCGATTAGCTTGATTTTTTCGTGCTGCATCATCCGAAAAAAGCGACTTATGATTTTGACCTTGTAAAAAAGTTAAATTCAAGTTTTGACGTTGATGTTCAGCTAGAAGAAGTGATAATGCTGCAAAATCAATCGTGCTTTTCCCAAACATTATAGAATCCTTTGTTGTTGTCGTCGTCGATAAAACTGTACTAATCGTTGTTGTAATAGAAGTTGTTGATGTTTCTAAAAATATTAAAATCAATTGTTGAAGAAAAGTATTCGATCAACACACACCTAGTGGACAATCAATCGAAACAGCTGATGGGCATTTATTAGTCAATCGTGCTTCAGTATCATTCAATTCCGTGAATGGATACATTCGTGAAAGACCACATGTTTTTTCAAGTAATAAATTTATTTGATTATTATATGAAATCTCATCTAAATCAACTGGTCGATAAGTTCCATCGAAAAATGGTTCAAGAAAAGCAATATATTCTCGATTGACATCAAATCTTTGACACGAGCGACGACCAAGAAGTGAACCTAAAAAGTAATATAACATAAAGAAAAACGATAGCAACATTTATTGTTTTTTCTTATAAACCTGCTTGAACAATACGAATAATACGTTGTGTTGGGGGACCTTTTAAAATACATCGAACTAGAAATGTGACATTAAATAAATTTGGAATATTAATATCAATATTTTTATTTAATGAAGTTCCAATTAGAATTAAAGGTGATTGCTGAACTTTAATGTTAAATGGAGTATCATCTTGATTAGAATGTATATCACAGTCAGATGATGATGTATGACATGAAGTTATGAAAATAAGAATTAGACTGAAGAAGAAACGATGAGTACCCATATTTGTTCTCGAGTAAAATGAATTGATCAAAATGAACGACTTTTTTTCTCTTTTTCTCTTTTTCTCTCTCTTCGTTTTTCCTCTATTATTCTCTTATCTTGAATTACTTCTTTTACCTTCTATGATAAGTGGATCGAATATCGAAAGACGTGATTATGATAAATAAATGTTCAATAATGCTTCTTTCATAAGAGAGCGAAGATATTAGCGGCCAAATGACCTTTGTTAAAGCAAAAAAAAAGAAGAAGGTTATTCGATCCTTCTTCTTTTATCAACTCTTGTCTTGTTCTTGTTCTTTTTATCAAACATCAAATGTACAAAGACAAGTTTTTAACAATCAAAAAGTCTTTTGATGATGTAATCATATCGTCTCTATAACAATTGAAGAAAGATAATTAACAACACTGATCAATATCGACAAAATTCAAGAATTAATGTGGAAACAAAAGATGTTACTGATTTTATAGTTGTTAGTGTTGTTGTATTATAATAAGCCATATTTCTTTTTTTTTATGCCATAAAATAAAGCATCTAGAAACAATGATATTGAATAATTTATGAAAAATCAGAATATGTTCTCTTTTTTCTTTATTTGCTCAAAAGTTTCCATTGTGGTTCGAAAAACTTCTTTTATTGTCTAGATTTTTCTAAGGTTACTTTTTTTAAACGAAATCATTGTTTATTTTTTCAAAGTTTCTATGTAATAAAACAAATTTAATTGTATCTGTTGAACAAAAAAAATATGCTGGAATGAGATATGATTTGTATATTTCAGTCGAGTACTGCACGATTACAAATTTCGGTACTGGCATTCAACCTTTACAAAAAATTTTTACCCATATCAGTCATGCCCTTGATGATTCGTACCTTTATTCTTCTCATCCATGTATCTGACAAATATGTATCCACATCCAGATGCAAGTACTCGACTCGTGGATTGCAGAACTCTATATTTTGTGATAGAAATTTCCATGTGATACAAAAAATTTCAGAGGGGATTCGATACTAGAAAATAGTACGCATATGACAGTCATGGTATAAGATTCATAGATTAATAAAATTAGTTCTTCAAGATAATACGAAGTTGCACATACAAAAAGTTGAGAAGCACTAATGCATTTGTCTTTGATGAAGCTTTTAGTGAAGGAATATTATCATAGATTGTCTTAGTGAAAGTACAAATATTTTCTTTTGAGAGATATATCTTATGTATGGCTATTCTACACGAATTTTATTCGTGATAACCTCAATACTGAGATTTATTATCACAAAAACAATAACATATAAAGATATATTTTTCTTGGAAGTTTCATTCAGAACAAATTTAATTTAATGCAAATGAAAGTGATTCTTAATAAGAATTGATACTACAGTTTTATGCTTATTATTCAGCATTAATTTCCATAATTGAAACATTAAAAAGATGATAGATTTTAACAAGCGTGTAGTATAGTTTTCTTATCGACTGGATGAAACAACATCGGAAACAAAGAGAAAAAGTGAGACTTCAAGAGTGCGTACTCCACTGTACTTCGGCAGTAACTCAACAGTATTTAATTAGTAACTTATGTGCATTACTAAGGATGACACTTTAAATTTACTCCAAAGTTAAAGTTCGGGCGCTGTAACTTTACTTAAACTGTAAAATAAACTGGAAGAAAGTATTTCCCTACCTTTAACTTTAGAAAAATCAAAGTCAAAGCAGAGGCTTTTTTTACTAACAAAGAGTTTTTTTGAGTATAGTAGTAACTTTCTATAAAATTGGACCATAGGAAATCAGGGTTACGAAATCCAAATCTGCAGTATGGTTACTCGAAATTTCGTACTTAATTGTTTACTGAAAAAGAAAATTCGTTCTAAAAATCTTTTTATGGCAAAAATAATTTTAAGAAAAAAGTCACTTTTTCCTTAAAAATAATATTTAACGAAAAATGTGATTTTATTTTGTTTTGTTATCCAAAAATTTTCATTGAACTTGAATAGTCTTAATCATGTGCGTATTGATTACTCCAATTTCAATGATAAATATCAAGATATCAAAGAATGCCATCGTCATATCATGAGTGAATACCATGATGATATGTGAGTTTGTAACAGAGAGCGAAACCGAATCGAATTACTCAATAGTTCGATTCGATTCGATCGGATACGCCTCGGGCGAATTGCATTGAATCCAAAGAAAATTTTCTTTTCCATTTCAGTCTTCGGTTTGTGCTGTTATGTTTGGTGCTTTACTTATTATGAAAGATCTAACTGCTTTTACTTACGACAATGAAAATTTATTTATTTTTTTGATTTAGGGTATGAATGTGAGTATGTCTATAGATCGAGTAAAGAGTCATACTCACACAATTCCGATCAACACTCACACCAACATTCACACTCGCAAGAAACCTGACTGACAGCATCTATGAACTATTATTTATTATAAGGACTAATTAGTAACAAATGCAAATATTTTTTTCACTAAAAAAACCATAGTAAAACGGTTAAGGATTCCGGAACAATTGTTCGGTGAGTGGAAAGTAGTATACCGTTGAAGAGAGAAGCAAGAGTCCTACGAAAAATTCTTTCCTTTGCGGTTTGCAAATAGGATCAATTCCGGAACTAACTGTTTTACATGCTTTGATTGCTTAGAATTGATCTTTTTCTAAGAAGAATCACTCTGCAATTCTAGGATAATGCACATTTCAATAAACAGATATATATATAGGCTCTTCTATGCTTTATATTTTCACCAGCCGACTGTTTCCCATTCATTCAGTTATCCACTTTGATCACAAACTTTGTTCAACCTAGTCAAATCTGAATTAGATAAACAAAATTTTACCTGGTAAAATATGAATAGAGTTAGTCATCAATAACTTCAATAGTACAAGTTATTCTTCATTCAGTATAAATTTTCGCTCATGATAGCTCCGCGTTTCTAATAAATCTGTAGTTTTTCATATTGAAATTTAGGTTTTATTGTACTAGCTAACTTAGAATAAGTTTAACTTGAAAAATGTGTTAAAATTAAGAACACACAACCTCAAAAACTTTCAATCGTTCACTGCTAGCTTTAGTCTCTGTTGTTCATTCGTCGTCCTTGGTATTATAGTTCTGTTTCATGCGGTTGAATGTACGTGTTAGTTATGCGACGTTCCACCCAATGCTTGAGTCATATGACCCAGGAGGACAACTTCCGACATTGTAGCTGAGTTTTGTCTTGTCAAAAGTTATGACTGGGGCAAGAATAGTCATAGGAATCAAATCGCCAGTATGCTCAACATCCCATTTAGGTGAATTTATGGTTTCAAAGTTTTGAGGCCCAAATATCTCACCGACAGATTTAATCATCATTGTCAGAGTTTTGGTCACCAGAGAGATCATTTCGTCTGTATGACGAAGATGTAAGTCTGGATATTTGGCCATGATTTCGGCGCCTTGTGTATCGGTGTATTGACCTAAGTCAAGATACCAAATATTGAACTGATTGAGTGAAACGTCAACGTTATATGAGCCTCCTTGATGAGCACGTTTATGTAGGGCTTGTACAATAGCAATTGCACCAACTATTCCAGTTTGATAATCAGAATTTGGAAGAAGTGGTAAAACGGGTTCATTGAGACCTAAAAACTTTCCTTGTAACCAAGCAACACCAGTCACGCAATCACTGATCTGTTGCCAGCCAGAACGTAGAGACCATGGACCAGCCCAACCGTAACAATTCTCACGAGCATAAACAATGCCTTTACCTAGAATATTTCACGGAATCTTTACATCCGTCCGACAAAAAACTATGTTATATCGCACTAAATCGTTGAATAATTGCGGAAATTTAAACATGAATAATCAAAATCAAAGTTCGAATATAAAATATTCAACTGCAATGTTGGCTAGTCATGAAGCATTTTTTTAAAATAATCTCTTTTTCGTTCCTTTTTGGATTCTCACCCGGCAATAAGAGGACTGTTTTGCCATTGAAAGTTCTATGACATCGTAGGAAGACATCTCAAAATAAGTATTTTAATTGACTGAGCATGTTTGTGAATACTCACATTATTGCGACTGAATTATTTTTTTAATAGACGAGATTCTGTTCTTGACTTTTACAAATTCAATTTAATTCTTTATGTTACGAAGTGAAAAGCTTTTTTTCAGCAAAAGTAACTCTATCGGCTTGAGTATAACGTCAACAAGTAGATGTAAATGTTATAAATGTTTGTTCGTTGATGTTAATTTTTAGATATTATTATTATTTTTTTATGAGCAGAAACTAAAAATTGTTTTTTTGGACGCTCTCTCATTATACAAGATAGGACTCTAAGTAATATAACTCATGAATTTCAAAATACACCTGAATAAAATACTACAGAGCATTCAATATGAATTTTAGTAGGGTTCATCACAATTTTCTGCTTAGTGTCTTTTCATTCAACTGCCCGTCGAAAATAAAGTATTATTATCTTGCGGAGAACAATGTAAAAAAAAATGGTCACTGTTTTTTTGTCAACTCAATGAAAGCTAGTAAGAAGTTTCAAATCGATTAGACATATTCAATTGTAAGTACCGTTCAGGCACAATAATTTGAAACTAAAAGTACATATTTAGACACAGAAAACATTACGTACGTGTTCTAGAGTACTCGGAGATATTTGATATGCAGTATGTCAAATTAAAATTTTGTTGTTTTATCAAAATAATAAGTGGTCAAAGTTCTACACACTTTGGGTTTTTTCTCATTATAACGTTAGATAATTATTCTACACACAATACAGAAAAACTAATATGACATATATCTCACCTCTTTTTAGAGCCATTTCGTGAACAGCTTGTCGACCAAATCCTAATCTTTCCATGCAGCCAGGTCGATAGCCATCTAAAATGACATCTGCTTCAGCCAATATGTGCGCCATCTCTTTTTTTCCTTCTGGTGTTTTCAAATTGATCCGCATATCGTATTTTCCCAAGTTTGTCTCAAGTAGAAGTACACCAAATTCTGGCTCCACATTATTTGACACACGAATTACAGTGGCACCTAAGGAAGCAAGTATTCTAGTTATTGTAGGTGCCGCAATCACCCGAGAAATGTCTACTATTTTGATCCCTGCAAGTGGTCGCAAATTTTGATCTGTCAACGTTGGCCATGGAATGACTGGGAGCTTCTCATTGTTCACAGCATCCAATGTCCAAAGACACTGGGTCTTGGCTGCTTTCCCGTGTTCTGTCTGAAAAAACTCCTCTGGTGTATAGCAAATGGTTCCTGATTGTCTATATTCTTCGTTGGCTACAGTGTCCAACCAATCTGCATCGTATTTAGCTACTTTATTGGCAAAGAATTCCACGATTTCTTCACGATCTGCCGTGTTAAGCTGAGGATGATCCGGGGGTAATCCTAAAAAGTCAATTGCTATAGGTAAAAATCAGAACCTATGTTCTTTCATAGTACCTAACATGGCCAATGTTTTATCGGCATTCATGGATCCATGAAGATGAAAGTACCGGTTGTCTTTTGTTCTGTAAATGTTCGTAGCAAGCTGTCTATAAGGAATATATGTTCTTCCCAAATCGATTTCTATAATTTTTTTACGAATGCCATCTGGAAGTTCGGCAAAAGTCTTTCCTGAGATTTTCAGAAGCAATACGCTTGTAGAAGCAAGAGTAGCTCGATCGGTATCGATAGTGCACTTTTGAAATGGCAAATCATATCGTTCAGCACACACCAATGAAGTGTAACATGCCAAAAGACCGTACAAAGCAGCTGAAGACTCAGTTAGTTTACAAGGTGTAGGCATGAATGGATCAGACAAACCAGCAGGACTACTGAAAGTCACATTCTTCGCTGCTTCAGTGATGTCTTCAGGATGTTGTAACCTTTTGTCCGAAAGAAGAACGTTTAGAAGAATTCTTTGTGATTCGCTCTGAATTGTGTATGGCATTGTCATATTCGAGACTCAACGCCAGTAAAAAGTTTATCACTGGTCGAAATATTTCTGAAACCGTAACAGCTAAAAAGTTGAGAAATAAAAAAAACCCGAGAAAAGAGTGTTGGCGTAGCTCTTGATAGGACTAAAATGTCGAACTAGTGTAAGAACGCCATCTCAACAAAGAAGAACGAGAATAAACATGTACGAAATGAAAATAAAACTTAAGATAATCAATCCATTCGAAAAAAACAAAAGTTTTCTGAACGAATTCGCTTCTCATTTACCGCTGCTTATCGCCATCGCCCCATCTATGTACGAATATGCCTTTATTCGTATACTAGTATGTCTGTAAATCTATGTCTACACTTCTATCTTACTATGCCTATATCTGACTTTGTGCACTAATAAGTCTACACCTCTTCGTGAACATCACTATGCTTTTCCACTATATTGATTCCTCCGTATGTATCTGTGCATCATTTTCATCGTTTATTTTGTTTCTATCGCTATCTGTATCCATTAATCTGTGTATAGACCTCTTACATCTGTCCTTTCAATACCATCCTTTCATACTTATTCGTATATTCTAAATTCTAAATTCTAGCTCCACATGTTCTTTATTGTTATTGTTATGTCAGTGTTCTTCAGCTTTTGTCGCTAGCTGGCGTCGAATATTCATATATGCGTGCTTTCAACTGCTTAATAAAACGCAAAGTTGATTATTCACAGACGGACGTATCTATTCGAAATAGACAAGCGAATGCTAAGTTCCGATAGAAAAATCAACTCTTGAGGTTTGTTGTGCAGTTGAGAACAAAAATGTATAACGCCTCATATCAACATATTCTTGGGTTTTCGAAATTCATACATATAGTTTGAATGAAATGTTAACACTGAATCGTTTAGTCATATTTCCAATCCATTCGACAAAGTTATAAGCCATATCATCGCTTTCATTTTGCTATGGTGTACTAGACTAGAGCATGCATTTTCACATCGATTCTTATCAGAATAATTCTGTCAAGAACTTTTATTAGTGTGTTCTATTCCTCACTTCATTGGATGTGACTAGTAAATTGACTGAAAATTCGGTTGTGGTTGTCGGCTTACTGATGGATAGAAATCCATCAGTTTTAATGTATTTAGATTTTTACATATCAATTGATAACATTCTTTAAAGGCTCATAAGTTGTTTGATTACCAGATTGAAACATCAGTAGCCAATCAATAAATCTCAATTATACTGTTTCAAAAACATGATGTAGGACATTTTTGATCGATATGAGGCTTTCATCAATTATTCAATTGCTGCATTACTTAGTGTTGCACTTTTGAAATTTAAAATTTGCTTTCCACGATCCAAATGATATTTTGAAGAGAATGGTCTTTTCATCAATCCATTTAAGGGACGAGTAATGACTTGTTTTGACGAAAATAAAAGTTCCTGAAAATATTCGAAACATATATATATATATAATATGAACTCAGCTTTCGATGTTGATTTCAAATATGTTATTGATATGAGCCTGTGTTAGTCTGTTAGCTAACAAAAACACTTCTTATCTTTATTTTCTATCTTGGTGTTCACAACTACTACTCTTCATTAACAATAACAAAACAACAACTCCATATAGTCACACATAACGTAACACATAAGTCGATCTAGTGACCAATAGAGAGATCAAAGAAAGAAGAAGAGAGATAGTGGTGAGAGATAGCGCCACTACCTAACAGCCTGAGCCTTACTTTTTTCTGTGAGAAACTAGAAAATGTTCACCAAAAAAGTTCTAAATCATGTTTCGGGAACAATATCATTTAGATTTGTTAACTAGCCACTGATTTTTCAGTCTGGTAATCAAACAGCTTATTAGTCTTTGGAAAATGGTATTGGTTGATGTATAAAGATCTATATGCATCAAAATTTATGGGTCTCTATTCATCAGTAAGCCAACAACCACAGCCAAATTATCAATCAAACTACCGGTGACTCTCAATAAAGTGACGAATAGAATATACTAATAAAGGTTCTTGACACAATTATTCTTATAAGAACCGATGCGTAAATGCATGTTTTATTCGACGAAACCATTGCAAAACGAAGGCGATGTCTATATGTAAAGAAGTCGAGGAGATATTATGACGACACCAATTACGATAAATGAAGGGTAGTATTTTGAGTCATAATGGTTTTTAACTGATCGAATAGGCTGAGAAATATAACCAAGCGATTCAGCATTTAACTTTCAGTCGCAATATATATATATATATATAGTATATACATATATTCGATGCATGTGAGCGATATATGGTGACAAAAAATGACATAGCAACTACACTGTTTTGTTGTTTATGTAGATTGCAAAACTGTACACGCAACGAAGAAGAACAATGTATACAAGGAAATTTAAAACAAACACGTGAGTGAGCAACAATATCGCTCTTTTGCCTTCGTATGAAGAATATATATCGTCAATATAATATAGATTGAAAACTTGATCGCGCAATATGTAATGGCCGAATATGAAGTGTTCATTGATGTAACTCACATCCATACACACAACCACATCCTAAAATTTCGGGGATAAGGACTAAAGAAATGTGAGCCTGTTCTATCTTATCATTTATATATGCACACATATTGATATAGGAGTTAGAAAAAAAAATAAGTGAACAATAGGAAAAGAAAGACAACTAGAGGACGGAAAGAAAAGCTGCATACGATTGCATTTTCGGTTGATAAAAAGGTACAGAATAATTTTTTTCGACCCGTACTTTTAGTAATATACTTTGGATGGCTAGAATCATTTTTTTTCTTTAGACATGTTGTTTTAAGAAGTACTCTCTTTTATTAGTGCAAATAATTTTTTATGAACGCTGTACACTAAAACATTGACATAAAATAGTGTTTCTAAGGTGTGTTTTTGTACATTTGTCTTCATAAACCAAAAGAAATATTGAATTCCGGCATATAAGAAATAATCAAACATACAACCTGAGATCATATGCAACTATATATTAACCCTTTCAGGCCCACGGCTCAGCCAATCGATGAAATTTCTTGGAGACTTTATATTTAATATAGGCAGTGTGTGTTGTGAATTTTTTTTACCAAAATTTTGAAAAAAATCTTTCAAGTCATTTTTGGCCCATTCCCGTAGGGGGGTACGGCAGTGGTCAAAATTCAATTGAAAGCTTTCGCAAAATCAACCTTTGGAATATGACAAGGAGCCACTCTCAACTTGATTCCAACGCGAAAAAGCGAAATATTTTGGAGACTGCAAAAGATAATTGTTTGCCCTCCTTCTTCTAAAAGTGGTATCTCAAAAACTCTTCAGGCTTACTACCTGAGTGGCTCAATTAAGGTTATAATTCTTATATAGATGTATGCACTGAAGTCTCTTCTATGTTGTAGAGAAAACTGCTTTTCGATATCTTTTTGTATTCGCGAGTTATTCAAAGATTACAATACTTAAAAAAACCGTACTATATTTAGTGCGGTGGGCCGGAAAGGGTTAAAGCGTCTAAAGATATGAACAACCAATCATCAATGCCCCGGACTAAAAGTCAACAAACAAGCATGATTCGGATTGCTAATGCCAGCGGTGCAATGTGTGACCTTGGATTCCATATGTATAATTAAGCTATGAAAGGTCCTATCGATGCAGTCACTGTAGATTATCTTGCTGAGATCAATATTGCAGTAAATGCACAAATCTATCGTGCTAGTTAACATCAGGCTTGGAAAAAAAATACCGAAAACGAGCTTATGCAAACTCTGGAAGTTATTGCAAAAAGGAAACTCGAACTAAGGATAGGGTACTATGATTGTGCTATAAGTAATTTGTAACCTAATCAATCACAAATTAAGAAAATCTTTTTTCTAATTTTTCTTTTAGACGGTTGCTTGATATACAAGACTCAATATTTTTCATTTTTAGAACTTCTTTTGCACGTCTAGTTGATGGACTTATATTTTTCATTGTTACTAA